ACAATAGCTGAGATGGTTTCCACCCGCAGCTAACGTGTAGAGTGATGATGATGATGCTGCTGCGACCAGAACGGTATCCACATTACTCTTCCGCCACGTTCGGTTCTACAACCTGACTGAGGACACGGTCGAGCACGATTCGGGCAATCACCTTGCCCACACAACTCAGCAAGTCGATGCCATGATAATTTGTGCAACATTGCTTGTTCCCTTTGCCCTTGTACAGTGATAGCACAAGGGCATCCTTCAGCTCAGGAGGCACCTAATCCTAAATCCATACGCATTGCACCAAGTGGTGCAGCGCAGTCACCAACGCAGGTCCGCCGTGTTTCAATACTTCAGGCGTGATCCCGTCGGCACCGGCACACTTGCGGTTTCGCAGCTGAGCAAGTGCTATTTGCGTCTCATCCAGTGTGAGCGTGTCGGCCAAACTCACCATCACATCGTGCTGCTTCAGGCCGTTCAATGTAGATCAGTCAATTACTGAACGGTTGTACATGAGACAAAGTGATTTCACCAGATCTATATTACACCTGCAGTCTGTGTGAAGGTAGCGCTTGACCTATCATCGATTAGCGTCCGCAGCGGAGCCAACCTCGATCCATATACCGCCTTCAAAGAGTCAAAGAATTCCTTGTGTTGGCGGCGTTCGGTGCAGCATTCCATCTCCTCGCCTTCTCCGTCCACCATGCATTTTTAATGTGACGGAAGTCTCGGGTCAGTCGCCGCAGAATTTTTCGAAACTTACTCTTCTTCCCCAAGTCTTTAGTGTCCGCCACATGTGCAGCAAATGCTGCATTCGTCTCAGACACTAATGCGCCAATTGTCGCATTGTTGTCATCAAACCAATGGGGCCGCATACAGTTTGCGCGCCCGATGATCTCTTCGGCAGCAGCTGGTCACGAGTGTGGTGCCACAGGTCGCCCACTGTGGCTAGGCATTCCATATCACACAGGCTTGCAGCCTCGTATATATATATATATATATATATATATATATATATATATATATATATATATATATATATATATATATCACAGTGCAAAGTGATTCGCGACTTGGGTGTGCGGTATTCCACTACCTTCAACTTTCCGGAACATTGTGACTTCCAAGTTTCGAAAGCCATGAAGACTATTGGCTATATCTGTCACAAATTTTAACTCACAGAATCTCGTATCTGGCTTTATAAAACATATGTGTTACCTGGCATGGAATACTGCTCACTAATACAGTCGAATCTGCGGAAATCTGACCAACATGCTCTTGAGAGGGTACAGCGACGCTTTACAAAGAAGCTGTGCGGATATTCCTCCAAGATGACCTACAGAGAGCGCAGTGAAAAACTTGGACTTGACCCAATTTGGCTACTGATAATGAAGATGAACTTGTGTTTCCTGTACAGAATAATTCACCATCACATGCACAATTATGCTAACTGTGTCCATATGGCCGTTAACACTAGATACGAGCTACGAAATAAGGAGACAACGGTCATGATTCCAAAGTTCAATACGCGAATTAGGGAGCGTTTCTTCTTACTACACTGCTCAAAGCTTTGGAACAAACTTCCAAGAGCTATCAGAACTTGTTGCACATTGCGTTTGTTTAAGCTTTCGATAAAAGATCATTTAACCGTTCAAAATGTGATAATAATGTTTCGAGCAGCACAGTCCTTAGATAACGCTTTTGAGAACGGAGTTAATGGTGCCTGAAAATGTATGTGGTCAAGTGCACAAGTGGTTATATTTTGTTGGCCCGCAGCACTTTATTCTCTCTTTTTTTCGTGTGCGATCAACTATCATGTGACTGCTAAAAACTTGTCAGACGATAGAACAAGAGGAATGTAAATAGTTTGGACCACTTCGCGCTACACAAATTTTCATTTTGTGCTCACATTTTTTTAAAAATTTATTATACCATGATATGAAACTGCTGTACCATTATTTGATCCGTCCCTTCTGGGAACGGCTTCTCGCATCGTCGAGCCATATACAATTTATATATATATATATATATATATATATATATATATATATATATATATATATATATACAGTTTATAAATAGACATTGAGCCATCGAAAGACTATGAGGAACAAAGTAAAAAATACAAATATCAGAAACGGAACAAATAATTCGGATTTCTGGGCATTTTTGTTTTTGTCTGTTTCCACACGCCATTTTGTTCTTTTTTTGGCATTTTGAGTGGCAACGGTCTAGTCAAATTGTTCAAAACGCGTGTGCCTCAAACAAAAGTGAGCGACCCACAAACAAGCAAACCACCTAATTTCCAAATACATATGGTAGCTATAATTTTAGAGTATTTTGGAGTAATTTGCGCAGTTGTACGGGGGAACCCCTAGGTCACTACAAAGTCGCCTAGTCCTATTCGATGCGCCATAACGAGGTCCATTAAAAGCTGATGACACGTCAGGGTTTACAGTCCCATCGTCTTCGTACGATATAGACTGTAAACTATGGACGAGCTTGGTAGCCCCTTGTTGAATAAGTCTCAGTTTTTGAACCTCGTCAAATGTAATCGGACAGTGGGCCGTTGAGCTGTACTCGAGCATTTGCTTTAGAATTTAAGAGGCAAGTTGAAATTTTCTCATACTATATGCTGAAGTTGCCTGTGGGTGCCCAAAACATGTGTAGTTCGTTTCCATACAAGTTGTTTGTGTTGTCCAGAGGCTTCGAATCACCGCGTGAGAGTACGCCCAGATCCTTCACAAAAGATGTGGGATGTAGTGATTGGTCGGCCAGAGTATAAGTACGCCTATCATCACAGTACACCAGTCCCATACATAACGACTTGATTGGGTTGGCTGGCAGATCGACATCTGCAGACCACATGAACAGACGATCGAAGAGAAGCTGAAGTACGTCGCAGTCGTCAGCTGCAAACAAGGCATACGGTGACCGAAGAAGCTGAGGCACTTCATTGATGGGGATTAGGAACAAAGTGGGCCCCGGTATCCCACTAGCGGAGGGATAGCAGTCAGTCAGATGGTCATCCACCTGTACCCACCAATTCCACCCCATAAAGAAGCCGCTGATTCCTTGGTGCTATCAGCAACCAACATCGCACATCCTCAGCTTGTGCAGGAGGACTTGACGGTTCACCTTGTCCAACGCTTTATTGAAATCAACATTGATCACGTTTATGGACTTCCTTTGATTCACTAACTACAACCATTCATGCCTAGTCACGAACGAGTTGGTGATATATGAATGACGTTTCATGAAAGCGTGTTGCACCGACGGCAAGTCCTTTGATTCCAACAGCTGCAGTAGGCACTTCTTCCCGGTATTCTCCAGTACCTTGATCAAAAAGGTCAGACAAATTGGACCGTAGTTGTCCACCATGCTTGGGTTACGGCTCTTCGGAATCGGATTCATTACCGAGCATTTCCAGTCGTTCAGCAATGCACCATCAGACAGCGACCTGCTGAACAGATCAATAACAAACGATGTGACAACGGCCGATAAGGACTTCAGAATCAGCGGACGGAGCCCGTCAGAACCGACAGTCTTCATACCGTCGATACTAACAAGTAGATTGTGTACATCTTCTACAGCGAAGTCCAAATTGTTGAAGTTTGGTCTGGAAACGCATAAAATGACCCCGGTACAGACGCACGGTCATTCGAAAATACGGAAGCGAAGTGCGCCGCCAATGCGGACGCACGCTGAATACGCGAAGTTGGGGGTTACCCGTTAGAGCCCTATAAAGCTGCCAAGTCAAGTGTAGGCTGCAAGTGCTGCTTCAGGCAAGCAGAAAGCTTCTTGGAGCTGAGGCTGCAACTTCCAACTACTGACGCTTCTGTGCTGCATACAAACGGCTGTTCATAGGAAACCAATCAACTAGCGAATCTTAAGCCTTGGGGTTGACAACTATGCACAATCCGTTGACCATTGCTGGCCGCATCAGTGTCTCCGGAAGGACGGAACCAATAAGGAGAGAGCAAGCTGAGTGCAGTTCTATAAGCACCTGAGGGTCTTTGATCCTAGTTTGGGATACGCAACACACGTCAATAGTTGAGGTGTGTAACGTAGTTGCAAAGCGCTGCAGTCCATAGGTTTCTAGTGGATGATGCATGAACATGACTGCAGATGGCAGAACTCTAGTGGTATTGCAAGTGTCGCCAGTTAAGCTAGGAATTACAGAAAGAATGTCGGTTATAGGGGTCGGGAGGGGAATAAGACGTGGAAAAGAAGGCAGGCGCAAGAAGTAGCATGATTTCATTTATCCGCCCTGCTGCATATGCAGCTGATAAATCGACCCTTGTATAGCTGCGCGACGGCCGGTGTAGGATGTGGTGGAATTTTGGGGAAATAGTCATGGTTGTACGTGGGCTGAGGTAGTTCCAGGATGCCCAGATCAAGAAAGGGGATGATTAGGGCCCACAACTAGAGCCTTTGGCCCAAAAGCCTGTCCGCAAGGCAGCGGGGAGGTGGTAATGATTCAGTCTTACAGAAATGGACGCCATCCGACTTCAACCCCCCAAACCTGGAGACTGGGTTTGTATGGTCTCTAGCTGCTGACCCAGCTGGTCGTAGTAGCTTTCAGTGGGTACGCAGCAAACCATCGCACCACCTTGAAGTCCAGTCTCGTTGCGACGGCCTAAATGTCTCACCAATAGATGGGTGTATGCTTAAGAAGTAATTCATGCTAAAACAGACGTAGATGGCAAATCGGTGAGTTAGTTTGAAACATGTAGTTGCATTATGTTCCGCAGCGTCGAGTGGTGGGCAAAAGGATGCGACTATGATCATCAGTTGCATCCACAATTTTGAGCGATCAATAAAAAGCTGCCCGTGGGAACAAAGATAATCTTATACTATTAATCGTGCTGACTAAAAATGAAAGGATACCATCTCGGTAACTAAACCAGTCATCATAAACACGGTAGGAATTTCAGACGGATGCCCAAGGTCCCATCTTATACAAACGGCCAATGCGGTTGGCTCACGTTTGCACAGAAAGCAATTAAACTTACCTGGAGGAGCTTCTGCTGACCACGAAGTTCCGGTGGGTGACATGTTGGATAGGCCTACGCGTGAGAAGAGTTGGCCATCACGAGTAGCAATGACCAGATGATACAATCCTGGCCGAGTGTCCGTCACCGAGCAGAGAGCAGTAACCTCTGTCTGCGCGGTCGTGGCAAAAGGAAGAGCTAGCGACCGCGAATAGGAGGAGCCAATGTGGCAAAACAGCTGCGAAAATAAAAAACATATGAGGACAACGATGACGGAGGCCAAAGTGGGGGAAGCGTCCAGAGGGTGATAAACATACTTTCACGTAGCATGATGATTCATGGGGCTCACCTCATTGGACACTGTATTTAAAGTCCACAAGGAACTTGGCTGGCTCGGATGGCTTCCGCTCACCTCAGCTAACGAAGTGTTTATGAGTAGTGGAAAGCGCCAAATATGATGACACTGGACAATATCATCGGGTAGCGGAGAACCAGATCGTATGAGTTGTACCTGCACGCGGTACTTCAACCACCGGAAAGCAGAGAGTGCGGATTGAGCGCGAGCAAGTAAAGTGTTACACTTTATTGGATGGTGCACGATCAACCACATGGACTTTGGGCACCGAACCACATCCGGGGGTTCATGATCGGGCGACAGAGGTACTTCGAACTCCGGTTCACGTATGGAAGATGAGGCAATCCTGAGTAACGTCGTACCGGGAGCTGCACATTTGGTTAAAAAAGGAAATTACGAAATCGCTGGGTGTCTGGTCAGCTGCGCTAAGTTAAACGTTTAACGGCAACAGAACAAACATACACAAAACTTCAATTTCAATGCTGAACAAACCCCACATGTTCCAATTACATGGAGCTGAAAACACAGTAAAAACAATTTCGAATTGCAAAATGGTCCAAAGCACATGGTATTCTATGCAAGCATTCGAAACGGTTCCAACTGTTGGCTTGCTGAACTAGCTCCTTGTGGTCTCCGCTCTGTGGTTCAGATTCATCTTGTCCGGCATATGATTCGATGGCAGTGTATTGGAACAAGATGGGTTTTCGTATGGTAAGAGTTTCCCTATAAATGACCACAAATGTCCATTCAACAATACTGTGACGTGGCGAATGTAACTTGCTACTAAGTAAAGCCACGACCCCATGCTTCAATTTGGTAGAACAATGTAGCCTAGGCGGTGGATACATAATCATCATCCTTATACACGTTAGCTAGAGGTGTAAAACAACTCAGCTACTGTGCCGCAATACATAAAAGAAAATAAATACAACAGTTGCATACCAGCAACGGATGATATCGTTCCGGAAAGCTAGCAGTCGGCTACTGCGCAACAACAAAAAACTGATGTGAAATTATCTTATGCGGTGAACGCGGGGTGTATTGGGTCACCATTTGACAAGTTACTGAACCAAAGGCACGCGAAATGAAGACCCGGTAACCAACATCCAATAGGCGCGAGTTCCCAACTTCGCTCCGCTGCTTTGCGGGTAGGTTAATTAACCAAAGGCTCGACAGAGTGTTCCTACCTCGACTTGGATAACCTGGACGTATCAGGCCCCCAAAGAAACCATGAATAGCTCTGTGTTGCGTTCGGTCTTCTTCTTACAATAAATGTACCTCACTTTGTTGTCCAGTTTTTGATGGCTGCATACCAGTTCATGAATTGCCGAAAAGCAGCACAGGTGTGCTAACTTCCACAAAAACACAGTACAACTTTGCAAGAAATAAGTTAATGATATACGTCATCTACAACATTTGTGGCAACCACACGTGGAAATCCATTTCAGGAACATTCGAAGAACCTCAGCGCAAGACTGCATCATCATCCGCTTCGGTTTAAACCTTGAACTATAGGACAAGATATTGTCACAAATGACAAAATGACATGTGATAAATTGTTCTCACGAAACTTTGACAGCTTCTTCCAACGGTTTAGGGGCACATCTCTGATCAACTTGCTATCGATGAAAGATGGCAACAGTTATTGAACATGCCGAGGTAAGCATGACTCGTACGATATGGGAATAGACAAGGCGTTGACTAGAGTACGCAGTGACCCGAAGTTGGCGAGTAGAATGGAACAGCCGATGGCTGGAGGAAAGACTCAAGAAGTGCAACGTTTCGTCAGATACACCGCCTCTCGAACTTAAAGGGTGCGATAGGGCACCTAAAGGCCAAACGTTGAAGAGATATCCGGGTGTGTGAACTCATGAACATGGGCACCTTGGTGCACCTAGCACAACAATATCAAGCTGTAAACCGAAATCATCAAACCTTTTATCCAAAAAGCACTGAGAAGCCGTGAAAGAATTGAAATGTAATCCAGCTTTGGTACTTGCAAGACCAGATAAAGAAGCTGGATGGGTAATAATGGATAAAGTCGACTGCATCTCCAAACCTCATAACGTTTTACAAGATGCAAGCAAATTCCTGTGTGAAACAGTGCAAAAGATAGAACCACAGAGGACGAGATAAAAACTACAAATATTTTGAAGGAATTAAAGCACATGAATTTGATTAACGATTAGCTGCTTGATCAGTTAACTCCGGTGGGCTCCCAACCTCCTCGACTGTATGGGTTACCTAAGATGCACAAGCCAAAGCTCCTGCTGCGTCCGACAATTGATACGTCAACCTCAACCTTCCACTCGGTCGCGAAGTGGCTTGTCCACGTGTTAGAACCGGTACACAATGAATTGTCCACGCACTCATTGAAAGACTCGTTCGAATTTGTTAAGCACGTAGAGAGATTACAAGTCAATAGCAAGGTAATGCTATCTATCGACGCTGAACCACACTTCACCAACGTCCCTTTGATAGAGACCGTTAATTTCCTATGTGATTGCATGAACGAAAAGATCAGAGCAGTTGGTATTCCAGCCAACAAACTAAAGGAACTGATTATGCGGTGTACTTCCAACAGAGGATTCTTATTTGACAGGCTGTATCACAGACAAATAGTGTGGTGATGGGTTCTTCCCTCGGGCCGCTTCTTGCGGATATCTTCCTAGCCAGTAATATCTTCGCTCAATGCATACTGTATGTACATGGATGATACCTTTATTGTCTGTAATGCAAGCATCGACTTTACTCGTTTGTTCGCTCAGTTCAACGGTAGGCATCCTTTGCTGCATTTCACCAGTGAAATTTTAACGTTGGTAAACTAGCCTTCCTAGACGTATTGCTAAAGCGAGGTAAGGATGGCTCACTTGAAAGAAGCGTCTTCCGGAAGACTACATGAGTAGTCTAGTACACCCACTTTCTGAGTTTTGTACCATTGGAGAACAAACGAAACTTGATTAGTTGCTTGTGTTATCGTGCCGTCAAAAGCAGCCCGGAGACATTGGGAAAGGAGAAAGACCGCATATTTCGAACGTTGCAAGATAACGGTTACCCCGATCGGTTCATCATAAGACATGTCATGGTCCGTGTGCGTCAAGTAACTGTTCTGACTGTAGGGAAGAAAGATGTCTTCCTCTCAGTTCCTTTCAAAAGCGATGTCGCTTTTGACCTACTGAGCAGACGACTCTCTATCGCAGTTGCTACAGCCTACCCAACCACCTACTCACGAGTTCTTGCTCAAATTACTCCGTTTATCACCCAACGCCTTAAAGACAGACTGCTGGTTCATTCTTAATCATGTTTTATATCACTCTACTTGCACCTGTGTTGTAAGATATATTGGGCACACGACCAGACGTCTGTACGGATAGAACACTGTCTGGGATCCCTACGAAGAAAAATAGTCAGAAATCTATCATGGAGCACCTATTACAAAATGGCCATGTGATACGGACAGAAGATTCATTCAGATTCTTCTACGCCGCCATCAAAGCTATATCCAAAATGGGTTAGAAGGCGACTCTTGAAAACATCTGAGGCGATTACAAGCAGAGTGACTCAGCCAGAATTGTAAAAGCAAAGGGATCTTGTCCAAGTCTTCCTGTTACCATGGCCAACTGGCAATTACTCCGCATCGGACGCTGAAAACAAACGAAGATGATCTATATCCCACTGGTTGTCACGAGACCTGCCGTGAGTGGACAGATGTTAGTACTGATTGAGTTAACCAGTTTTGTCCAAATCACTTTCTTTATTAACCTTAGTACTGCTTTCACTAGCACACTTAGTTGATTTACATTTTCTTGTAAATGTATTGCATGAAGACAGTTATGAAAAAGAGGGCGCCTCTTCGCAACTTCGATTGCTAATTATTGTCAACAGTCACTGGCTAGTATCGTTTGCGGCATCCAGTTGAGAGAAAAGTTGCAGGTGGAAGCAGTCAGACAAAAACTTGTTTCAGAATCAGTACCAGGGGATAGGTAACTGCTCACTGATGTGGCCGATCTTGAGGATCTCACATGCATGATGACAGTAACGCCAACCAAACGCGGTCTTCTGGTGAGATAGCTTATGTTCGTTTTCCATGTTATCCAGTGATAATGTTGAGGTTTTGCCCAAAGTAGGCGCAGCATTGGCAAGCAAATACACACTGAGACAGCCGATAATGAGTCATGCAGAGCACCCAGGAAACGATGAGAGAGTCAGTTGTCAAAAATCAAATGACGAACTTCAAGATCAATCACTCCGTGATGCAATCAAACACGAACAACCATGTGCAAGCAAGTATCAGCAGTAGTCGAACTGCATAATTCCGGCCTAGTTGTGATGACCTCTTGGTGGGAATGATAGCCACGGTTTGTGCGGACTGAACCCTACCACATAAGGGAAGAACACTGATCGCAAGACGAACCCGAAACCAAAGGGGGAGAGGGAAAGACAGGTCTTCAGTAAGAGCACTTTTACGATTATGTACTGAGGCTGGTGGCATGTGAATTTCACACAGAACAATATGAGTAGTCTAGAAAGAGGGTGTAGCCTAAAGATATATGAGTTCGCACGAGTAGGAAAGTTTATGTCAAACATGAATAAAGCGGAGGCACAGAATATGGATGCGCGGGTTCGTGTCTAGTGCAGTTGCAGCTAGAGCGTTGCCTGCTTGAAATTGCCTTACGTGATATTGTGGGAACGTGCACTCCCAGAGAACGAGCATGATCAATAAACGAAGGTCTTCAGCGTTTTGGGATGAAAGAAAATAATAAGGAAAGACATCAGCGGCATGCCAGCACATGGTACCGACGTTTTGCTGCCTCGCAACTACCACCAACTCCGCGTAGGCTGGGTTCACCACGAGGTTGCCCGCACTTGAGTGGATGAGAACTGGTGATCTTTATGACAGATGTCTGATCTTCTCAGCCTACCGCTGAACATAGGGCCAGATTTCGCGATCTTAACAGAAGGAATAGATGCATTCCATCTCTGGAAACCCCATTACGAAGCAATAAAACAGTAACCCATAATCGCCGTGGATGAAGGAATCGTTGAGAGGCTGAGAAGTGTGCAAGATGTGCGGTAATCCCTTTGGAGTGTGACCAACAGAAGTGGTACAGTTAGCGAGATAAGTAAACAGATAGACAATTTCAAGTGGTTCTTATGTGGTTGTAAAGGCTGGTAGCGCGTCGGCCGAATAACTTGCACCATGAATGGGGTAAACTGCATACCGAAATAAGCAGCATTAGGTATCAGTTGAAAAGTAGCCAGACCCGACCAAAATGAGTAAGTTGTTTGCATATTCTAAAGTTTAACGATCGGTTACTTAAAAATACTTCAATCCAGAGGAGGTCGGATATGGAGGGAGAGATTTATTTATGGTCCTTCTTTTCACAAGAACGACACTCTCCACTTGTGGTGAAGTTAGGGGAGAGTTTTCCGTGGACTATCAAGCGACCCTGAAGCCATCCTCTGGTAAGTTTACATAAAGTAAGTTTGTAGATACACTCTTCAAACAGACCATATTAACAAAAAAAGCAACCTCTAAATAGAGGAAGACTAACACGATAGGCTGTTAGTAGGTATGGGAATACGGAAGCGCCTGTGCTAAGTCTCCTCTCTGTCGGGATAGGAACTAGGACAAATAACGAAACAGGGTGACACGTGGATCAAAGAATCCAGTCCAGAGGGATCGCATACAATGACTACTGACTTCAAAGCGACGGAAGAGTGGGCAAGAACAAACGATAAAGCCAAAAAGTGGAACAAGTGTCACATAAATACATCCACAGGTCAATCCATAAATATATACTATACGTTAGCTGGAGGTGACTAATGCTACAGTTATTGGGCTGCAAAGCAGATAACATGCAAGAAAAAAAGTGTGATACTAACTACAACGGAATACAAAATAGAAGCAAGTGATGATGTACTTTGTTCCATGTTATACACTGATGATGAGATCGTGGTTGGAGGAAGAGGCTAAGCGGGATCCAGAGAAAGAAACTCAAAACACAAACGCCACTGGGGTCGGCTGTTCGCCAAATCAATAAGTGCATCCAGCGAAACATGTTCCTCGTCTTCCGAACCCCAACCAAGAAGTCAAGAGACTCTAAACTAGGCCAACTTCGAAGTGAAGGCATTCATTCCTCTCGACCAAGTCATCGCTTTGTCTAGCATCTTCTTCTCTCACTCACATCCCGCAAACAACGCAGGTCACGAGAGTCGGTGTGCTGATATTCCTGACATATCGTCAAGCGATCGAAGCCTGGTGCGTGGTATAACGATGCTGAGCGGTTCATTCGCCGAACACACATTGCTCTGCGGTGTTCCCACCAGATATGAGTTAAACTGCGAAGGTAGCGGTGGTCGAACGTAAATAGCGTCTTTATAATAGTCTATCTGATAGGCCAGGTTTCGCAACGGGTGGCTGTGTTGTGAACTCTGCCATTCAGAGCAAGTGAAGTCGTTTCGGCACCACAGGTGGTGGAGATTAACAGAAGCAAGTCGGAATTTGCCGTAACGGTTCGTGAACTCATCTTCTCATTCATTCATTTTACACGTTAGCTAGAGGTGCAAAACACCTCAGCTACTGCGCCACAAGAAATAAGAGAAAATACGTGCAACAAGAAAATAAATGCAAAAGAACGCATCTTCTACTCGACAAGCGCTAGCATAACTGTTTAGACACTTTAATTTCTGGACGACCTAGCTGATCACCCCTAAGTGTTAGTGTAGGAGTGGATTCCTGTCAACCTTGGGTAAGGAATTTGCACTTCGTGGGTCCAAAGTATAGTCCGAAATGATTGACAGACAATGCTAATTAACCCAATGCAGCATGAGACGTTATTGGATTGTTACAGATTAATGCAACGGCGTCGGCGTACTCAAAGTCGAGCAATTGGAAACGCTTCGCTTAGATGTAGGAGTAAAGTATAAGTGGGTCAAGGGCATAAAACGTTCCATTAGGGTCTCGTACAGGAAGTGAGACCATTACCGCCAAATATATTTCTAGTACTGACAGCCGAAGTAATTTCATTTGGATGAGTGAGAAAAGGTGCGGTAGATGGCGACGGTGACGGATAGAAGGGTGCTAGTGCAAACCATTGGACTAACAGCAGACTAAAAGCAACAAGTGGGAAAGACGAAGCAGAAAATCGCTTTCCCAGGAAATTCACGCAGCCAGACCGATCGAATGCAAGTTAGCAGAGGGCTAGTAGCCAGAGTTCACCGCCTCAAGCTTCGGTAAGTCAAGTACTGAGCAAACAGAAAAAACGTCCAGTGGTGAGAGTAATTTGAGAGGATCCCCGCTCGACCAGATGTGGAATCAAAATTGCTTTATAACAAAGGACTGGTGATCCATCAGATTGAGCACCGCCGGTAACATAGTAAAAGAAATCAGATGAGGGTTGAACTGTTCGCTGAGCTTGGCAATTTTTTTTATGCAAATGTTTCGTCACCAATCGAAGTGGCGCCATCAGTGCGTAGCTGAGTGACGTGCAGTAGTGTAGAGCGTGTTTTTATAACGCCGTGGTTGGTCGTGGAGACGAGCAATCCTATTCGTTGGGACCTCGAGGCGCGTTCAGCTTGGTTGATGGGCAGATGACCTTTGACCTTGGCCCCTTGTGTTTCGTAGCCTGTCTGTTTGGACTTGGGAGCGAGTCTGGCGTCAGTTCTGGTTGTCTAGTCACACGTTCCACCGGATTCAATCGATTTAGTTGGCGGTCCTTCGCCACTGGTGGTGTCACGTCGATTGATGACGAAACGTTTGTATAAAAAATATTGCCAAGCTCAGCGAACAGTTCAATCGCCATCTGAACAACCTGAGCTACCAGTCTTCAGTGCTAAAAGAAATGTAAATGTCTCAAGTCCGATTATCTATCACTAAGAGACTTGGAAATACGGGGTCCCGATAAACATGGTCGGCGGCACTCGGCTCCGGATTTGCATGTCACTATGGCCTATATAAAACCACAGTATGCCTGCGTCTACAGAGGGATCATGGGTGGCGCGCGCCACACTAGCCACAGCTCCAACCACACACTCCATATCCAGTGCAAAGTCGAAGGAATAAGACCGGGAGGCATGTGGATAGGAGCCACGTTTCCTCAACAGAGGCGGCCCACACTCCTTCAACATGCACAGGAGCAGCATTCCTGTCCATCTATGTAGGAAATCATGCGTACCAAACGTACAAAAGGCGATGGCAGTGCCGTAATCCGCTCCACATTGGATGGAACCACACTTTGAGCCTAGCACGGTCACGAGGACCGTGCACCCCGTCCTCCCAGCAATGATTCAGTCTCCTGAAGCCAGTAATCGAGGTAGAGGGTGTTAGACAAGTAGGCACCTTGGCAACATTCACGTCATGCGCAGTCACACCGGGGATAACAAACAACCAACATAGATCTACTATCAGTCGTGAATCCGAAATTGTGGGTCAGATATGTTGACGACACGTTTGTCATACTCAAACGCAGCCAGTTGCTGACCGCACAAAGCCTGCTGAACGATGCAATGGACGGTATTCACTTCACTATGGAGCCAGAAATGGAGAACAAACTACCTTTCTTAGATGTATTGGTTACTAGAACAACGGACGGAGAACTACAAACATCAGTTTACAGGAAAGATACGTATACAGATCAAATATTAAATTTCAACAGCAACCACCCAAAATGTCACAAAAGCAGCTGCATACGCACCTTGTTCCGTAGGATAGAATCACATTGTAATACTGCAGAAGCAAAACGCGAGGAAGAAAATCATTTGTTTACATCCTTCATGCGCAACGGATATCCACGCAGCTTCATCCGAAGATACATGAAGCAGAAGAGTACAAACACGACACCGGAACCAACAACAACCAAACGGATCGCTTTACCATACATCAAGAACGTATCGGAACTGACTGCTAGACTCCCCAAGCCACACCATCTGTTATTGGTTCACATACCCACCAACACGCTGAAAGGAACCCTATCTAGACCGAAAGGGAAGACGAGAGCACACGAACGCCGGAACGTCATTTACAAGATACAGTGTAAAAATTGTGATAAGAACTATGTGGGCCAAACGGGAAGAAAATTGTCTACAAGGCCACAAGAACACAAACGAGCCTGTCGAAACCATTACCCATCATCCTTGGTCTCGACCCACGTTGATGAAGAAGGGCACGCATTTGATTGGGAGAAAACAGAGATACTAGCGCAAGGAGAGACCAAAAAAGGAAGAGAATTCCTTGAAGCCTGGTTTTCTACAGTCAGTTCAATAAACCAACGCATCGATTTAGATCCGATATACAGGCAGCTGCGAGAAAAGAGTTTACGTGGGTCGTCTGGCACATGAGTCGGAAAGAGGCGGCGCCCACACTGGGAACTAGCAATGGTCACGGGACCCGAATCGAACTGAGCAGGTTCAAATGTCACTCGCTCGTCGGTAAGAATCGACAAAACAAATCAGTTTGCCTATAACGCGCTGAGGAAGTCACCACGACTGGTGATGAAACGTCTGCAACGAAACTGTTCAGCTCGGAGAACAGAACAAAATCTGAACAAACATAGAATTTGACGGAAATCAAAAACGCAAAATTGACACAGAGTACGGAGCAGAATAAGAGAATTGAACAAATCAAATAAAGTGGAATGACTTTCAGAATGATTAAGAAGATCCAATTAAAGTATGAGTTGGTTTAGCCCAACTGCGGTGAAGAAGTATCATGCAGGCAACATCAAAGCATGAGGCACCCTTATGAGCATACAAATGTGAGAAAACACGAATAAGCTAGATGACGGAAGAAAAGAATAAAGAACAAAATGATCGACGAACTTGTTGAAAAGCGCGAGAACCGCTTAATGAGATTTTTTGGTTCGCAATCCAAAAGCAGTTCATCCATGAGACCGCTGATGGGAATCTGTGGAAAAGGGAATGTGAAGCAAATTAACTGGGGAACTAATGTTGACGAGTACAGTTCATGGAGCAAGACAAAGAAATCTCAATCCCTACTAAGTGAAGAGGAATGAGACTGAAAAGGATTGCACCCGGTGTGCTGTGGAAGTGTGGTACAGTCCTGATGGGGAAATTTCGGGAGTACGCCATATCGAGGACTCTAGCTGGGGACCCACCTCGTTGTCTTACTCAAATGTGGACACACTGGTGGCATAGCAGTCCAACTAAAAACCGTGACTTATATGACTACAACTGATTTCACACTGCATTGATAGCCACACAGTGGGGGAATATGGTAGCTTTATCTGCTACAGACATCTGAGTTGATAAGTGAAATCATATTACGGGGGTTCCATCTTTGTTCCTTATCTTCCGACACACATTCTCCCCTCATAGTCCTCAATTCTCCTGACCCATCCTACATGCCTCAACCCACCTAAGCGATGGCTCGATGCAATCACATTCCTCCGTGAAAAGCACTAAAGATAGGATGCTGGAACGTGGGACATTTCTGGATCGGAACAGGAATTAACATACCACATGACGCACTGCACTGGTCGCAATGGAACTCGGCCGCTACGGTATTGCCGCACTCGATGAGACTCGGCTGGTAGACCAAGGCAAGCCGCATGACAAGAGCGCTGGCTACATGTTCTACTGGGTGGGGAACGTCACCACAGAGCCACGTGCATATGGTGTTAGATACACAATATCCGACTGCCTAAATGGACACCTGATGGAAGAGCCCACTGCATCAGCCCAGGAATGATGACACTTAGCCTACTACGGAGTATGTTTGCAATTTCTATTAGCAAGTATGGTTCCAACATGTGTTATCCTGATGACACGAGGGTCAGTTTTATGCTCATTTATCTTCCGTGATGCGGCCTGTGTCGATAAGCGACCGGTTACTATTACTCGATGATTTCAACGCGCGACTTGGACGTGGTTCCACAGTGTGTGCAGACGTTATCGGGCCCAATAGTATTGGGTCACCCGATTGGAACGGTGACCGAATGCTCTCACTGTGCGCCACTCACGGCCTGACGACCACACACACAGTTTGCACTGGATACGAGTGAAATTGCCACTCGGATGCAACCACAGTGACCACGCTTACCTGCCCGACTATGTCATCGCACACCATCAAGACATTCAATTGCTCATTTGTTCGCCGAGTTGCGAAATTGGTTTGCAAACGTTTCACCGTCATGCGAGACGGCATCATCAGTGCGTCGAGATATGCAGTGTAATCTCGCTGATTGAATTGTCGACCCGTGATCGGTGTGCAGGTGACATTTCGAAAGTGACGGCTTCGATCTGAGTCCCGTGATCTCTACCCATTTCCCCGTGGCGGAGGTCGTCGCTTGGGTTGTTCCTATTCAAGCGGCGTCTCATAATTTCTCTAAGTTCTCTCCGTCGGAGGGGTTGGTAAACCGGGTCAATCTCGATACGCATGTTGATCGAGTCTTGTGTTGAGAACCACGCTTCCAGGAATTCCCTTGCTCTTCTTGTTTCACCTCGTGCCAGGACTTCTGTGTTGGCCCAGTCGAAGCTGTGTTCTTTTTCATCCACGTGTGCTGAGACTAGCGAAGATGCATAGTGTTTTTTGCATGCTCTTTTATGCTCTTGTAATCTTGTTGTTAATTTTCTGCCTGTTTGGCCAACATAGTCCTTTTCGCAATTTCTACAAAGTAGTCTATATACAACATTGCTTTGCTCATGAGCTTCCAATTTCTCTTTCGGTTTCGACAGAGTTTTTCTCAGTGTAGCAGTTGGTTTGTGTGCTACGATGAAGTGATGTTGTTTGAATAGTCTTGCTGCAATTTCGGCTATATTCTTCATATAAGGTAAAACAACGCGTCTCTCCGTCGTTGGTGTAGACTGTGTTTGGTTTGTTGCGGTTCAGACACCTTCGGATGAAGCTCCGTGGATATCCGTGGAGTTGGAGACATTTAAATAGATGCTTCTCTTCTTGTTGCTTTGCCTCCGTGGTACTGCAGTGTGTTTGCACTCTACCAAATAGTGTCCGCACACAGCTTACTTTGTGGCATTTCGGATGGTTACTGTTAAAATTCAGAATTTGGTCCGTATGTGTCCATTTTCTGTAAACTGATGTTTGCAGCCTCCCTTCCATGGTTCTGGTTACCAAGACATCCAGGAAAGGCAGTTGGTTTTCCTTCTCCATTTCCATTGTAAACCGGATGTCTTCAATGGCGTTGTTCAATAGCTGCTGTGCGACTGCAACTTGATTGCGTTTGATGATCACAAAAGTGTCGTCAACATATCGGACCCACAGTTTCGGATTAATGAGTGGGAGTACATCTCCCTCCAATTTCTGCATTACCATCTCCGCGATGAGTCCCGATATAGGTGATCGCATTGGCTCACCTTTCAATTGCTCGTAGATCTTCCCGTTGAAAGAGAAGTAGGTTGACAGACACAACTGCAGTAGTTTGCATACGTTTTCGGTCGTTAGGTTCCCGATTGGTTGTTCACTGCTGTTCAGGCGTTCTGTGATGACTGTTGTTGCCATTTGTAAGTTTACAGACGTAAAGAGGGCAGTCACGTCGAAAGATATCATTGTTTCATCATCATCTATTAGCAGGTTTTTGAGCTTTTGTAGAAATTGCTGGGCATTATTAATGGAATATTGCGATCCGCAGGTCAGATGTTTGAGGCGTCTCCACATTTCTTTCGCCAAGTTGTAGGTGGGTGTTCCTGGTAATGACACGATCGGTCGTAATGGTGCATCATCTTTGTGTACCTTTGGAAGTCCATAGAAGTGCGCGATTCTCGAGTCACGGGCTCTCATTCGTTCGCTCTCCTCCTTCGTGATTTGATTCTTTTCTTGGAGTTGTTTCAACGTTTTGTTTAATTTGCTTGTCAGCTGTGAGGTTGGATCGGTGTCAATGCACTTGTAGGTCGTTGTGTCGTTCAAGAGACGTAAAGCTTTCTCAGTGTAATCCTCTTTATCCATTATAACAGTCATCCGTCCTTTATCTGCCGGCAGGATGATCGTTACGTCAGACTTCAAGGATTTTATTGCCTGCTTAGGGTATTGTACTGCCTGTTGCGCATTATAGCTGGAACAATAGTGTGTCTTATTTGCTTTTGAGCCTCTTCCTCAATTCCATTGGATTGTAGAGCGCTTTCGAATGCTGCCAGAAAATCTGTAGTTGCTGCATCTTTGAAGTTATAGTTTAGTCCCTTGATGAGGACTTGCTCTTCCGCTTCGTTAATTTGTCGTTTAGACAAATTTCTGATCCAGCTATCACTAGTAGTTCTGTCTTTAGCACAGGTCAATTTTGATAATTTATCGAGAAGTGCAGTATGTTTCTTTGTCCTAGTGTTTGTTACCCGACGTTCTATTGCAGCGTCAAGTTGTTCTGTTAGTTGTTCTCCAATAATTTGAAGACAGGTAGACCGATGTTCGTCCAGACATCGTTCATATTTCTTGAGTCGATTGTGAGCGTCGGTGATCATCAGCCGTAGCATACGCCTGCCAAATTGCCGAGCGGCTTCCCACGCTTGTGGATGATTAATCGGCGGTTTGTAGTTAACACTGCGAAGAACAATTTCCCTTCTCAGGCATTTATGAAGGAAGAAGAGCTGTTGCCTTGTAGAGGCTTGTCTGCAAGCGTAATCTTCCCAACGGCGAGCAGTGCGGAGCGTTGAACGCCCGTGATTATTTAAAATGTTTTGGAAAACTGGTAGCTCGGGTTGATAATTCAATTGCTCATTTGTTCGCCGAGCTGCGAAATTGGTTTGCAAACGTTTCACCGTCATGCGAGACGGCATCATCAGTGCGTGGTTCTCAACACAAGACTCGATCAACATGCATATCGAGATTGACCCGGTTTACCAACCCCTCCGACGGAGAGAACTTAGAGAAATTATGAGACGCCGCTTGAATAGGAACAACCCAAGCGACGACCTCCGCCACGGGGAAATGGGTAGAGATCACGGGACTCAGATCGAAGCCGTCACTTTCGAAATGTCACCTGCACGCCGATCACGGGTCGACAATTCAATCAGCGAGATTACACTGCATATCTCGACGCACTGATGATGCCGTCTCGCATGACGGTGAAACGTTTGCAAACCAATTTCGCAGCTCGGCGAACAAATGAGCAATTGAATTATCAACCCGAGCTACCAGTTTTCCAAGCCATCAAGACATGTGTGAAGTGCGCATGACGAGAGTATTGCGTGGATGTGAATGTGGGACTGAGCATAAAGTGACGCAGACTAAATTGTACAGATATTTTCGTATATCTATGTTTAGTTCCCCTGCCGTGAACTGCAGAAATGCTAATATTCGTTTTTGAGACACTTGGGAAGAGGTGCGAACAGGAAAATGCGATAGCGACCCATCTTGGGGGCGAGCGCCCCATCGATACAGTCGGCGACCTGTGGCACAATATCAAAGAACACGTAACCGTTGCCGCCGAGGAAAGGAACGGATGCGCAAACCGTAATCGGTCCAATTAGTCTGCTGATAACAGTGCACAAATTGGCGCATTGGTGTCAGAGAATAATGCAGTCTTTGCTGCGCATGGACAGGATCTTGACGACTCAGAGGAGAGTAACTTTCGTAAGTTGCGTAGACATTTGACTCGAAAGCTCCGCCACATAAAGATCGCATGGTGGGCGGAGAAGAAGAAGCAGATGGAATGCTGTGGAATGCCGCCAACAGAAGCAGTTCTAGGACTTCATGAGGGCAGTGCATGGGCTCACCTTGCAGCCGATAAGGAGAGGAATGGACGCTACTTCGGGCGCTGAGTGCACACAGACTGCAGCCGACATGTCGCTTGAACGATTGTTCAGACGTTGACTGGGATATACTGCACGGTCTGTGATAGCAGAAGTTGAAGGATGGTCTTGAACACCCATGGAATTCATGAGACGCAGGCAACACTTGCTCAGCTGCGAAGGGTAAAGGTACAGATGTCGATGGAATAC